GACACATTCAGCTTGGGCACTGATACCCCCGGTCTTACCCCTCCCCCGCCCTTTCCCCCTGCCCCTCCTCCCCTCTCCATACCCTAATTCCCTGGGGACGACCGACCAGGGGAATGAGGGGAGTGGATAAGGAGAGAAGAGGGAGGAGGTAGGTGGGAAGGGAAGGGAAGGGAGGAAGGGGGAAGGGAGGAAGGGAGGGTGGGGAGGGGAAAATGGAGAAAGGACGAGAAGGGAGGGAGGAAGGGGGAAGGAGGAAAGAGGAGGAAGGGAGTTTAGGTTAGGGAGATGGGAATCGGAGAGAGAGAGAAGGGAAGGGAGGGAGGGAGAAGGGAACGAGGGAGTAGGGGAGACCGGGGGAGGGGTAAGGAGCCGGCGAGTGTTAATCAAAGGTTACATGTTTGTTTGCGAAGCGTCGTGAAGTGTCGGGCCGGAAGAAGCTCCCCTCTTGCACCCTACAGCAGCTCACACGGCATTCAACACTTACGAGATTATAAGTAGCGACGGGTGAACGGTTTTTAACGCGGGGGGGAGGGGGGGAGGGAGGGGATGGGGAGGTGTGTGTGTGAGGGTTGGGGAGAGAGAGAGGGGATGAAGAGGGAGAGAGAGAGAGAGAGAGAGAGAGAGAGAAGGAAAGATGGGATTGGCGTTGCAGTTGAGTGTTTTCTCTTTCGCTCTCTCTTATCTCTCTCTCTCTTATCTTTCTTACTTTCTCTCTTTCTCGCTGTCTTTCTCTACTCTTTCTCACTCCTTTCTCACTCTCTCTCTCTTTCTATTCTCCTGTCTCCTCCCTCCTCTCGCCTCCTCTCTCCCTCTCTTTCTCTCACTCCCTTTCTCTCCCTCTCTTCTTCCTCCCTCCTTCCTCCTTCCCTCGCCTCCCTCTTCCTCCTATCCCCTACCCCTGCTACCCCTTCCTTTCTTCTCTCTTTCTCCTCCCCTCACTTTCTCTCTCTCTCTCCTCTCTCTTTCTCCTATTTTAACACATTTAATTCTTTATGAAGACACGGGTTTTGAAGGAAAAGGAATGATGATATACTGATTATTTACTACTCCTTGTTGTATTGGCTCGAAGGAAATGTTAAAAGGAAAAAACGATGTAACATTAGAGGAAAAACATCGTATCGTCATGACTATCGCGTCTGTCAAGTTATATATCTGTTTTTTTCTTTTTTTTTCTTTCCTTCTTTTTCTTTCTTTCTTTTTTCTTTCTTTTTTTCTTTCTTCTTTCTTTTTTTTCTTTTTTCTTTCTTTCCTCTTTCTTTTTTCTTTCTTTTCTTTCTTTTCTCTTTCTTTCTTCCTTTCTTTTTTCTTTCTTTCTTTCTTTTTTTTCTTTTTTTCTTCTATCTCTCTTCTCTTTCTTTCTTCATTCTTTTTTTCCTTGCTGTGTTGTCTTTATA